TAAAAAATAAAAAAAAGGAAAAAGAAAATATACACATACACATATATAAGGTTTGAGTTTGAACCCTAGAACCCACAACAAAAATAAATAAATACAAATAAAAAGCCAGGCACCAGTTTGCAATTCCAGCATGAAGAAGTGAGGGTTCAGCTGGCCAACCAGTCTAGCACTAGTTGGTGAGTTTTATACCTATGAGACTTTCTCTCAAAGGAGACAGACATCAGTTCCTGAAATGACACCCAAGGCTGTCCTCTGGCCTTTATCTGCATGTACTCACATTCCCCCCCACACACATAAACCTGCGCACATAAGAGAAATGGAAGGACAATAAACAAAACCTCTTACCTGTGTTGAAGACTCTATAAAGCTAAACAACTAATTAGAACTTCTGATCAGCCGGGCGGTAGTGGTGCACACCTTTAATCACAGCACTTGGAAGACAGAGGCAGGAGAATCCTTTTGAGTTCGAGGCCAGCCTGGTTTACAAAAGGTAGTTCCAGGACAGCTAGAACTGTTACTATTACACAGGGAAACAACTTCTGATCACAGAAAGTTGGAATGTTGCAGATACAGAGTCAAATTATCTTGGGCTATTTTTAGCCCCCACAACAGCATGCACTGCCTTCTGACCTTTAAGGTATATTCTTACCAGACCACTAACTTCTACCAATCCAAAGGCTATAAATTAAAAATGTCATCAGATAGTACCTAAAGCCTACTGTAGAACCAATTGTGGTGGCACATGCCTTTAATCCAAACATTGGGGAAGCAAAGACAGGCAAGTCTCCATGAGTTCAACGCCACTTGGTAAATATAGCAAGTTCCAGGCCAAACACAACAAGACTCTGTCTCAAAATAAAACTACAAAAACCCCTATAAAACAAACAAACAAAAAAACAAAAACTCAACAGTTTGTTTCTTTTCTATAACCCGATCATCCAATGCCCAACTAATGTATTCCGTAAATTCTTTGATTTGACTTTCCTTGTTCTTTTTATTTATTCTTATTTGTGTGTGAGTGTGTGTGTGTGTTTGTGTGTATGCAAACAGAAGGGAGCAGCAGATCTCCTGGTGCTTGAGGACAGCCAGTTCTGAGGTGCCAGGCAGGTGGGAGGAAGCCAACAGTGATCCCCTGAACAGTAAGCACTCAACCACGGAGCCATTATCTGCAGCCCCACTTACTTGTTCTATAACTCGTACAGTTTCATGTAACCACTTCCATAATAGAACACATTTCAGGGTACCCTGATGCATGTTTATGGACTATGACCATTCAAGAATAAACTGTCTTTGAACTGAGGGCTATGTTTGGGGTTGACAGATCTTAGGGCCACACAGTCTTCTTCAGCCAACAAAGAAAACAGATTAATATGAAAATATAAAGTGGACACCTACTATGGACATTTGGGAACAAATGACTTAGGTATATAGAAAACAAAATAAACTTTAAAAAAAAGCATATTGCTCACTGAGCAGAAAAAAAAAGCTAAAACTTTGAAATTTTGATAAAAATTGAAATTACTTAAGATTTCAAAATAGTAAATACTCAAGCATGGGCCAGGCAGTGGTGGCACAAGCCCTTAATCTCAGCACACAGGAGGCAGAAGCAGATGGATTTCTGTGAGTTCAAAGTCAGCCTGGTCTACAAAGCAAGTTCCAGGACAGTTAGAGATGTTACACAGAGAAACCCTGTCTCGAAAAATAAACTAACAAACAAACAAAACCCATCAAATATGGGGTTACTTAAACTTCTTGAGCCAGGAAACAGTAAATAGCAGATTGTGCTCAGAGAAGACTGTCTGAGTAGAGACCTGGAGACTGGAGCTTTTCGGTAATGACAAGATTCAAAGTACAACTTTGTGGCCTGAAGAAAATAAAAGAATCAAGAAGTTCAAATGTCACCTGACCTGTCCGTTTAAATGCTCATGTGGGGCAAATGAGATGGCTTAGCGTGTAAGAATACTTAGCGTGTGAGAGAACACATGCTGTCAAGCCTGCAGCCTCCGTTAGATCTCTAGAACCCACGAGTCAGAAGAAAACTGATGTCCACAGGTGTATCCGCATATACACACAATCAATAATTTAATGCTGAAGTTGCCCAAATGGTGAGGTGTAACTGTGTAGTATTTTCTTACCCTTTTTATTATCTTTTCTGCTCCAGGAAGCCTTCTTTTTTTCCCCCTTGAGGCAGGGTCTCTTAACTAGCTGTCCTTGATCTCCAGAGCTGACCTTGAACTCAGAGACCCACCTGCCTCCCGTCTACCAGTGCTGGGATTACAGGCCTGCATCACTATGCCTGACTATCAATAGGCTCTCCTGAATTGACTTTTTCAATGTCCCCTGGTTTCCAGTTGGCTTGGTCAATAGGGTATCCCAGAAAAGGAGTCAGTAAATTCATTCTTCCAGCAACTGTCATTGCAAGGGACCTCAAGTTTGGTCACCAGAAACTCATCATTCCCCCTCAAACCAAGTAACTATACTTATCCTGCTCAGTTCTTCCAGCATAAAAATAACAGTTTGTTACAATACTATTTCTTCTGATCTTTATAACTTTATAAGAAGTACTTTATAACAAACTCTGCCCTGGCATGGTAAAGGAAAGCAAGTCTTTGTGTCAAAATAAAAAAGAAAGAAGGCTAGGGATACAGCTAAGAGAGCTAAGAGATACAAAACAAAACAAAACAAACAAAAACAACAACAAAAAAAAGCAGAAAAACTCTCTCTGCTAAGCATTTTGTCAAATATGTCCTGTCTTCCTGTTGAAATTCTATGATGATAACGAAAAGATGCAACAGAGAATGATGGGACAGAAAGGGGGATAGCTTAAGAAAGTGATAACAGAAGATATATGTTGAACTTCTCATAGCTCTTGTAAGATATTACATTTAATCATCACAGATGATTGCTTTCAATTACCAACATCCAAAAGTTGTTTGTCCGGCTGGAGAGATGACTCAGCGGTTAAGAGCACTGACTGCTCTTCCAGAAGTCCTGAGTTCAATTCCCAGCAACCACATGGTGGCTCACAACCACGTGTAATGAGATCTGGTGCCCTCTTCTGGCCTGCAGGCATACATGGAAGGAATGTTGTATACATAATAAATAAATAAATCTTTAAAAAAAAAAAAGTTCTTTGTCCATTGTAAGCACTCCAGTACTGATTTAAAATGCACTTACCAGGTTTATGGGGGAAGCCCTGTCCTGACTTTAGTAGGTTATTTATATTTTAGGAAACTATGAAAATCAGAGAACTGTAACTCCTTTCACTACAGAACTAAAAACTACATGAGCCCTACCTACATGGAAGCCGCAATTTAATCTTTTTTCTTGTTTTGGTTACAGGGTTTCTGTGTAGCCCGGGCTGTCCTGGAACTCTCTGTAGACCAGGCTGGCCTCAAACTCAAGAGAGCCTCTTGCCTCTGCCTCTGGGGTGCTGGGATTAAAGGCGTGTGCCACCAGGCACAACAAAATCTTGTCTTCCCACTATGTAAGCAAGAACTTGGGTCTCCCATTTACACACACAGATCAAAGTTAAAGTGGCATTTTTTTTTTAACTATGTACTTGCATCCTCGGGGCTTATACCAGAGAAGAGCACCGTTAAGTATCAGTTATGAGTTAGAGTAAACAAAAATATACTTGTGGGTATGAAATGCAAAACTAAAGGGAGAGGAGAGCTAGGGATGGACTGGATCTCCAGCACCACACACAAAAACAAAAAATAAAGGTTACTGTTTAGTCCGTCAGTTTGTATGAGACTCCTCAGTTTTCAAAAAATTTCACAGCTCATACACTAAAACCTATACACTGTCAGCAAAATCAGCACCCATGCCAGGTGGTGGTGGTGCCTGCCTTTAATCCCAGCACTAGGGAGGCAGAGGCAGAGGCGGATCTCTGTGAGTTCAAGGAAGGCTAGCCTGGTCTACCAGAGCAAGTTCCAGGATAGACTCCAAAAGCTACAGAGAAACCCTGTCTCGAAAAAACAAAACAAAACAAAAAAAATCAGCACCCATACTAACTCATAAAAATAAAACATAGCAAAGCTGAGCGGTGGTGGCACACACCTTTAATCCCAGCACTTAGGAGACAGAGGCAGACGGATCTCTGAGTTTGAGGCCAGCCTGGTTTACAGAGTGAGTTCCAGGACAGCCAGGGCTACACAGAAAAACCCTGTCTCGAAAACCAAAATACATACATAAAACAGCAAAAGTGAGGGTGAAAATCAAGAGAGAAAATACAAAATGTGAGTCAAGAAAGTTACATGAACTAAAAAACTTAAACATGAGGAAATATAACAGATATAACACAAACACTCCACCACCTGCTCACATAATTATATGGTCTAATTAAAGCAGTTACGATACCCATCTTACAAATAGGAACCCACAGGTGGAGGAAATAAGGTAAGAATCCAATATACAACAAAAGATTTCCTGAAACAATAATTAATTTTTTAAATATTATATTGCACTTCAAAGCAAGGGGAAAAGTCATGAATATGAATCTAGAAGACTGAGAAATTTCGAGAATAACGTGAGTAAAAATCGGTTTAAGTAAGGCTACCACCGGGAAGAAATTGCCAGATGAATCCCTTGGACAGATAAGGTGAAGCAAAAGCATCCTGATGTGAAAGATGGGAAAGCATTTGGGGCTGACTTTGGCTAAAGGAAGATAAAACAGAGAGGCACGGCCTAAAAAGCAAAAGCGATGGCGGAACGTAAACGGGGGGGGGGGGGGATGGAGGGGGCTAGATCCATGCCACAAGCGAAAAGTACAGAATTACAAATCGGATTCTACGAGATAGCGGAAGGACCAATTCGTGGCCGATCAGGGGCCACCAGTTTCTGAAAGGCGGCAGAGATGTGGCCGCTCAGCCCCACCCCACAGCAGCAGCTTCTACGGAAAGAGGCTCTTCCCAGGCCAACCGCCTCGCTCACACTCAACCCTAGAGCCCACCCGGCCCCGGCCACGCGCTGCAGAACGACCACTTCCCGCCCCTCACCGAACGTTGCAGCTCCCCAAGCCAAAACGAGGCGCGCTCCTTTCCGCTGGGATCTGGGTCGTGGTAAAGAGCCTGCACTGCCTGGTACACGAGCTGCAATGTTGGCTTGGCTCCTTCCATGGTGGTGGCGGCGGCGGTGACAGCGACGACTCCGAGGCTTCCCTGCTGCTCCGCCTCTCACGATTCCTCACTGTCTCGGCCACAGCCGCTCCCTGACTGGCGCCATCTCCTCCTTTCTGGCCGTTACCAGGGAAGGGGGGGGGAGGTTCCTCGTGGAAGTCGCCCCCTCGGAAACAGCGGATAGGTCGTCTCAGGTTCCCGGATCCCTTTTGTCCTGTCTTTCTGCTAGAATCCAGTCTCTGGAGTCCGGACACGGATTCTTGGCTCCTCACCTCCCGCCTAGATCTCTGAGGCCTATCACCGCATGACACAAACCACGCAGCGATCCTGAAACAGAGCTTTACCAGACCGGAAGCAGCCGCCCATATACCTTAGCACACTTCCGTCTGGTGCGCTACAGACTGCCTCCTTCCCGGCACGCCTCCTCTTGTTGCCCGCCTCCTCCCGGAAGTGACCCTGCCGGACCAGGAGAACTGAAAGGATGGGACACAAGGTAGTTACCTAGGTCTTTAACGTCTTACTGGAGCTTTAAGAGCGACTTGTGTCACGTCCCTGACCTAATCTTATCTCCTTGACAAAGAATCCAAAGTCTTTCCTCCCGTTTCCTACTTCCGCAGCCCTCTCCAGGGAGTCAGTCCTTCCTGTTCTACTGTCTCTAAGGTCCTACTATCTATAGTGTACTGCATAGTCAAAGGTCACTTAAGACACGGTACCTACGCTGATTCTCATTAAAATCACACTAGGTACACTTAACCAAATTACTATTTTCACACCTGAAGCGTGTGCCGCACTGAATAAATCCAGAATGAGCCTGTCCTTTTTCCTACTAAGATCTTAACATTTAAAAAAAAAAAATTCTTGTTCTGTTTCAGGTTCTTACCCTCTAGGGTCATTTGCATATTGGATGTTGCTTTTGTAATATACTTTTCTTCTTATATAAAAAGTCAATACTCTGTTGGATTGTATGGAGGGGGCCTGTAATCTCAGCTCTTGGAAGACAGACCATCAAGAGGAGTTCACCATTAGCCATTGCTACAGGAAACCATGTCTTTAAGCAGCTCAATGGTGGTGGTGCACGCCTTTAATCTCAGCATTCTGGAGGCAAAAGCAGATAGGTAGATCTCTAAGTTTAAGGCCAGTCTGGTCTACAGAGCGAGTTCCTATAGTAATATTTCATTTGTATTTTAATAAATAAAGTTTACCTGAAGATCAGAACGCAAAACAGCCAAACTAGTCAGCCATACAGGCCAGGCTATGGTTGGCACACGTCTTTAATCCCAGCAGTCACACTAGTTAGCCATATTAGGCAGCGTGGTGATTTTGCACGCCTTTAATCCCAGCACTAGAGAGGAATATAAAGCGGATGAGACAGGAACTCGTGTTCTTTCAGTCTGAAGATTTCATAGAGTTAAGAGCTCTCTTAGTGGCTTGACTGCTTTGCTTTTCTGATCCTCAGGTTGAACCCCAGTATCTGTATCTGAGTTTTTATTATTCATGCTACAAGTTCTAAGACAGCCAGGGCTACACAGAGAAGCTGTGTCTTGGAAAAAAATTAATTTAAAAATAAATAAAAAGCAAATCAATAGTCTAGCAATTCTCAGTTCACACACACACAAAGAAGTTTCCCAATATTGCTGCTGCCCTAAAAATAACCATTACTATCTGATTAATGTTGACAGTGTGTAAAACGTTATAATTACAGATTAACAGCCTTCTAAGATAAATCCTTCTTTTTCTTGAAAACCTTTCAAAGGTTTCTTTTTCTGTGTCTGAGGGCTGTGCCTGCATTTGTGTTTATTTGCACTACGGTGGCTGTTTGGTACTGGGGGAGTTATAGACAGTTGTGAGCTAACATATAGGTTCAGGAAACTGAATCTGGATCCTCTACAAGAGCAAGTCCGTCAACTCTCCGGCCCTTAAAACTTTGCTTTTTGTTTGTTGTTTTCCAAGAAAGGGCTTCTCTCTGTAGTACTGGCTGTCCTGGAACTAGCTCTGTAGACCAGGTTAGCCTCAAACTCTAAGCTTTACCTGCCTGTGTCTTCGGATTGCTGGGATTTATAGGCATGCATCACCACCACCCTGGTAAAACATTTTAAAAGATGAGAATTTTTCTTTGGGTTCACCTTCTTATTTAGCATCTCTAGGATCACGAATTATAGGCTCAATGTCTTTTATTTATGGCTAGAATCCACTTACAAGTGTACATACCATATTCATCTTTTTGGGTCTGGGTTACCTCACTCAGGATAGTGTTTTCTATTTCCATCCATTTGCATGCAAAATTCAAGATGTCATTGGTTTTTTTTTATTACCGCTGAATAGTACTCTAACGTGTATATATTCCACACTTTATCCATTCTTCCATAGAGGGGCATCTAGGTTGTTTCCAGGTTCTGGCTATTACAAATAATGTATAGTTATCCTGGATATTGGAAGTAGACAAGATTGCCAGGCAAAAATTGGGAACTTGGGGGTGGGGTGAGGTAAGGGGAGATGGGGAGAGAAAAGTGAGAAGGGGAGGATGGGGAGAGCTTGGGAGAATGGGATGATGGAGGAAGGTCATTGGTTAAAAAAATAAAGAAACTGCTTGGCCCTCATAGGTTAGAACATAGGTGGGTGGAGAAAACAGAACAGAATGCTGGGAGGAAGAGGAAGTGAGGTAAGACGCCTCAGACAGACACCATGCAGCTCCTCGCCAGGGCAGACACGATGAAGCTCCGACCCATGATGGACGTAGGCTAGAATCTTCGCGGTAAGCGCACACATTATTAGAAATGGGCTAGTCCAGGTGCGAGAGTTAGCCGAGAAGAGGCTAGATATAATGGGCCAAGCCATGTTTAAAAGAATACAATTTGTCTGTTGTTGTTTTGGGGCATAAGCTAGCCAGGCAGCTGGGAGCTGGGGCGGCAGGGAAGCAGCCTGCAGCTCCCACAACAGTGGGAGGGTTGAGATGGAGGAAGCATGGATATGGGAGCAGGGAAGTAGATATCTTAATTAAGGGAGCCATTTTAGGGTTGGCAAGAGACTTGACTCTAGAGGGGTTCCCAGGTGTCCAAGGAGATGTCCCCAGCTAGTTCCTTAGGCAGCTTAGGAGAGGGAGCCTGAAATGGCCTTATCCTATAGCCTATATATTGCATATCACCATAGAACCTTCATCTGGCAATGGATGGAGATAGAGACAGAGACTCACATTGGGGCGATGGACTGAGCTCCCAAGGTCCAAATGAGAAGCAGAAGGAGGGAGAACATGAGCAAGAAAGTCAGGACCGAGAGGGGTGCATCCACCCACTGAGATGGAGGGGCTGAACTAATGGGAGCTCACCAAGGCCAGCTGAACTGAGACTGTTGGAGCATGTGATCAAACCAGATTCCCTGAACGTGACGGTCAGTGAGGGCTGATTGAGAAGCCAAAGACAATGGCACTGGGTTTTGTTACTACTGCATGTACTGGCTTTGTGGGAGCCTAGTCTGTTTGGATGCTCACCTTCCTAGACCTGGATGTAAGGGGGAGGACCTTGGACTTCCCACAGGGCAGGGAACCCTGACTGCTCTTTGGACTGAAGATGGAGGGGTAGGAGAAGTGGAGGTAGGGGGAGGGAAATGGGAGGAGGGGAGGATGTGGAAATTTTTAATAATAATAAAAAAAAGATGAGAATTTAAGGTCGTTCATGCTGGCTGACACGTGTAATCCCAGCGTTTGGGAACCAGAGACATGAGGATTGCTGCAAGTTTGAAGCCAGCCTGTTTTCATGCTGAGTTTCAGGCACTGTGTTACATAGTGACACTTTGTCTTAGGAAAAGGAAGAAATTAATTAAAGAAGAGAATGAAGGTAATTGGTTTGCCCAGGGTCACAAGGTTCTTAAATGAAAGTGCGAATGTGATTCCAGATCAGATTTGCTGCAAAACCTTTTAAATATTTGTAGAAACTTCACATTCCTTTGTGGTTGTGCACTTCCAAATTGTTATTGTCAAGAAACTTTAAATTGCCAATATGTGAGAAAAAAAAACTTAGCATCCTTGTTATAATTGTTAGCAAAGAAAAGAAACTTAGTTATTCAGCTATCTAATTCATCTATGAAGAAAAGATTTAGTAAGGCCACCTTGGCCTCTAATCTCTTTGAATTTCACAGTGGAATTGCAAACAAACAAAAAGCCAAGCAATTCAATAGAGAGTAAGAAAGTTCGCTGACTATAGTTAAGCAAAAGCAGGTGGGGTGTTGGTTTGACTGAGAATGGCTCCCATGGGCTTATATGAATGCTGAGTCGTGGTAGAGTGGAATCCTTCCATAGGATTAGAAGGATTAGGAGGTGTGGCCTTGTTAGAGGAAGTGTGTCTGTCACTAGGGATGAACTTTGAGGTTTTCAGAAGCCCACACCAGGGCCAATGTTTCTCTCTTCCTCTCTCTCTTCAGGATATAGCTCTCAGCTACTGCTCCATTGCCTTGAGTGTTGTCATGTCTAGACCTCTTAAACTGCAAGCAAGCCCCTAATTAAATGCTTTCTTTTATAAATTGCCTTGGTTGTGATGTCTTTTATCAGCCATAGAACAGTGCCTTCAATACAGTGGACTTCTGTCTCTACTTTAAAAAAGATCATAAGTCTTAAATGTAAGAGTTAAAATTCTTAAATGAAAACAGGTGTATGGCTGGGCGGTGATGGTACACGCCTTTAATCCCAGTACTCGGGAGGCGGAAGCAGGCAGAGTTCCAGACCAGCCTGATCTAGACAGGCTCCAAAGCTACAAAGAAACCCTGTCTCGAAAAACCAAAAAAAAAAAAAAAAAAAAAAAAAAAGAGGTGTTACTTCATGACCTTGGGTTACGCAAAAGCTTCTTAGCTATACAACCAAAACCAGTCAAAAAGAAAGAACTCAGAGACTAGAGAGATGACTCAGTGGTTAAGAGCACTAGTCACTAGTTTGCTCTTCCATAGGACCCACAGGTTCAATTCCTAACATGCACATGGCAGCTTACAACTCTAACTCCAGTTCCAGGGGACTGAGAGTTTCATACCAATGCGTTGCTCTTGTTTGGTTCCAGCACTCACATGGTGGTACACGAGCATCTGTAATTCCAGGACCCTCTCTGACCGCCTCAGGCACCAGGCATGAACATGGTGCATACACATACATGCAGGAAAAACACTCACGCGTATAAAGTAAAAATGGTTACTGAAACATGGACTAGAGGATTAGCTCAGTTGGTAGAGAACTCTCTAGCATGAACAAAGCTCTGGGTTTGATCCCGCACACCACCTAAGACAAAGTGTGGTGGCATACACCTCTAATCCTAGCACTTGAGAGTTAGAGACAAGAAGATCAGAAGTTCAAGGTCATTCTTGGATACTTAGTAAATTTGAGGCCAAT